GCTGTCCTTATTTGTCAGAAAGACACATTTTTTTCCACTCAGGTTTTTTTTTTTTTTACAGTTCGATTTCAATTTTCCTTATTAAGCTCTTCCTTTCTTTCAGCTGTAAAATATGTATTCTCCTCCCTTCTGCTAATTCATTACGTTGTATGTCTAGAGACAGGCCATATGGCAGCATTTCTACATTTTTATTTGAAGATGATCTCATGCAACATTAAAATTTGGGTGTAGCTATGGGGGGAATAGACTTTCAATGGTTCCAAGTCTTTAAATAAGAACAGAGCTGAACTCAAACCAGCAACCTGTATTCTAGTCGTCTTCCTGATGTTAGTGTGATAACTCAACTATAGAACTTAAAAGGTTTTTTATCTTCTCATTCTGGAGCCTTCCTGCAATCTCTCAACAGTTTGTTCGACTGCGCAAACACTACAATTATAATTTATCATCTTTGATCTATGGGCTCATTTTTTTTTAAAGGGTATTTTTCTTTAGGATATAAAGAACGTTAATTATTCAAAATAAGGCTTGCCCACTGATATTGTGATATGCTAGAGGTTGCACTCTTTATTGCAGTGATAACAGAGACTCTGATCCCCAGTTAAATGGTGGTCTGTAGAGACCCATCAGAAGCTGCTCCATGCTCCACTGAAATGTTCATGCAGTAATGTAAGTAGCAATGCAAGTACTAATATTCAGGAAAGGGACAGTGTGGGTTGCCAACTGGGAGTCTACATTTGCTATGCTAAGTGAAACAGATCTCACAAAGTCAACTCCAAAAGGAAGGGAATATGGCAATATTTCTGGGGTTTCATTGGGTTGGAGATCCGATCAATTTCTAACCTTGCATCACTCCGAAATTTCTATTAAAATTCTTGATCAACCAATGTCCTTCGGTGATTTTTAAACAGTTGTTTCAGTGTTACATCTGATAAGATCTGCCAACATTTCTTGTTTCAAGGACAGTGCTTATTTTGCTAGTGAAATTAAATAAATCTATCCAAAAACAGTTTGTGGCATAATTTCAGATTCCAGAATTTCCATTTCTATTTGGAATTTGGAATGAGGAAGATATTGGGGTTTTTTTTTCCCCTTAATGTATTAGGTTTAGACAATAGATCATAGTTTTGTTGGTTTCCTGCCCCAAATGGGAGAAAACAGTTACCAATTTTTGGCAAATGCTGACAAAGAGATCTTTAGACGCTTTAAAAAAAAAAAGATTTGGTACCATACTTACTTATGGATGATGCCAGCATGCTCAAGCAGAAAATGGCTATTCATATTTTAAGTAGCTATAACAGATAATTTATGCACATCTGCCAACTCAAGGGCCATATTGGGGTTTATGTAGCATGGATACATTCCAAATGTGGCTAGGGTAAGGATCCTAATTTGGGAGAACTTCTTAGAGGATGAAATTGGACCCTTGAATGTCTATAAACCTTATTCATATATTTTGCCTTTTAAAATATGTATATTCAAAATTATTTTGACTCCAACTACGCTTTAGGGACCCCTGCCTTTTTTTAACCTGCCAATGAGTTCTATAATGACATCTCTGAATGCATTTTACGTTTATCTTCAATATTTATGTAACAGTCATTGATTAATAAAGGTTGTACAACCTGCCAGTGCAAATTTATCTACAGTTTGCAAAAACCCTTGGACGTGAGATTTTATCCCTTAGTAATGGGCAAAAAAGGAAGATCTCAGAATTTTTGTTCATGGCCCTTCTGCCTCATTTTTTTGTACCCCCGACTTAGATATGAGCAAAAAAAATAAATGAGATGGCTATCTAAAGTAAAGCAACAATAGCAGACTTATGTGTAAATTGTTTTTTTTTTTTTCAAAATTAAGGTATTTGGGAAAACAAGGAAATTCAATCAATAAGAAAATAAAAGTGCTTATTTAAACAATTGTTTTTCAATTGTACAGCTCAAAATGCAGCTGCACTGCTTAAAAATATCAAAGAATCACCTTTTGATTAGATGTCATTTAAAAAGGACAATTATAAGGTCCCCTCAGCATTATAAAATGATTAGGCATCATACAGTAATATAGCTTATATGGAAACCAGGAAGTTTAATGATATACTCATTGGACTTTTCTTGAGAATAACTGGAATGAATGCAAGAATGTCTACAGGATGCTGGCATCATTTGAAGGATATTGTCACAGATAGTGACAAGAACACACAAGCCACTAATATTTAATAGGACTCCGGGGAGTTTTATATTAGGCCAGTCTAGAAACATCTTTGATCATAGTACTACTACTGAATTCACATAAAGTCATTTTTCATTAATCATGGTTTAGGGAATAAATCACAATCAGGGAGTATAGCCAGTAATCGAATCAAATAAATAAATCACATAATGGCTTAATGTAATTTATGAATTGTGTTACAGGAATGGCACCTGGACAACTGTTTCTATTTTCTCCAAACATAGATATTCAGAGGCATAATTTCTCCATATTTGGCTTCTTGTTTAGTTTTATGGTTAATACTTGATAAATCTAGTCCTTGTGAATCCATCTATCACTCTTGTTTAAAAAACACTGCCACATTTTTCAAGGACAGTTTTTGTATAAATATAGCAAGATACTGCAGTTTTGTAATGTTTCAGATTTGCTTCTACAAAGATGTTTAGGAATGTGGAGGGATACAATGACTACATCTGTTCAACTCTTTAAAACAGCTGCTACACAATCTTATGAAACAACATGGATACTTTAAAGAGTTGCAGTAGGTCTCCCATATTCTTTGATACATCTCTTTAGAACAAAATTCAAAATGCTACACAGCCCTACAAAAATTTAATTAAAAATAATTTTAATATAGCTAACTCTTAATACAAAATAATTCAGATTTAAAAAGAAATTCAGTATTTCAGTAATATTAATGAGTCTCCTTTAGCAACCAGAGGCAAATTTCTTTTACGGGAATCATTGTTTCTTGTTGGTCTCATCTGATAGCAGATATTTTGATGTCTTAGTAGTTCTTGAATGGCCACAAATGTAGTAAAAGCACTGTCTACACAGGATGGGTTCATAACTGGCACTGTAATTTAGCTGAGCTCACATTCCATTGTAAGCCATAATCCATGATATCTGAGTTCGCATAATATGCTAAATCACAAATAAACCACATTTGGGGTTATGAGTGACGTGAAGCTGATTTTGTAACATTTTTATTAAACGTTCTACAAAGAACATAACAACTAACATAAATTAATAAAGATTAAAAGCAGTAAAGAAAATAAGGAGGAAAAAAAAGCAAAAGTGCAGAAAGAAACAATGAAAAGAAATAGAAGCTTCTCATATTTTTTGTGGCAAATATAAGTTACAGTTTGTCTTAGACTCATGACCATAACTGAGCCCAAAATTTCTGTTGCTAAGCGAGACATTTGTTAAGTGAGTTTTGCCCCATTTTATGACCTTTCTTACCACAGCTGTTAAGTGAATCAGTTAAGATAGTAATACAGTTGTTAAGTAAGTCTAGCTTCCCCCTTGACTTTGCTTATCAGAAAGTTGCAAAAGGGGTTCATATGACCCTGGGACACTGCAACCATCATAAAGATGAGTCAGTTGCCAAGCATCTGAATTTTGATCTCGTGACAATGGTGATGCTGCAACTGTTGTGTGAAAAACGGTCATAAGTCACTTTTTTCAGTGCCATTGTAACTTCAAAAAATCACTAAATGAAATGTTGTAAGTTGAGGACTACCTGTACCAATAAAAAAAATAATGCAACTATAATTACGGAAAACCTTACTCTTCTCTATTATGAAGTTTCTGTCTAATCATCAGAACCACAAATCATAAATTCCATGCTTTTTTTTTTAATTGCTTGCTCATTAGTCCTAAAAGTTTCTGGTTTCAATTGTACTTTACCTTTAAAATCTTATAAATTAATGTATGTATTTGTATTCATTTTTATTTTTTATTTTTTTGCTTTTTTACATGTCTACCAAGCATAATAAAGTATTCCTTCCGATGAGTTCATTAAATCACAGAAGACAAATCTCATAATGATTTTATTTTTAATGACACTATAATAATATGCTACTTACTGACCTTAAAAAATAGAATTGTACACAAATGATTACCAATTTAATTTAGCTTCTTTTAATACAGTGGTCGGGGAACAGGGGTAAATTACCCCAAATGGGGTAAAACTGAAAATCCTGGGGGTAATGAGGACGGTCGCGCTGGCGCGACCGTTCTCATTACCCCCAGGCATTTTATTTCCGACATTCTGTTTGTATAGTTTACATACACAAGGACCTGACGCAGTGCAGAGCTCAGAAAACAACGCGAGCCGAGGTGGCTTCAGCTCCGCTTGGCTTCATTTCCTCAGTCCCAGCTGCTTTCAGTCCACTCGGGAGAAGGAAGAGGTGGTGGCGGCGGCTCGCGTTGTTTTCTGAGCCTGCGAGCCTAGAGCCCAGAAAACAACGCCAGCCACCACCACACCACCACCTCCTCCTCCTCCTCCCGAGTGGACTGAAAGCATCCTGCTAGTTCGGTACACAGCCTGGCAGCCATTGATACTGATGATATACCCTGCTAATTCGGTACACAGCCTGGCAGTCAGGGTTACAACTTTTCCAATCAATGTCTTTTTCACCCTTCAGATGACATCAATTAGAAAAAGAATATACCAGGAAGAATTCCTTGATTATGGGTTTACCCAAATTGATGACAAAGGAATAATGAAACCACAGTGTGTTGTTTGTTTGAAAGTACTGACTGCAGAATCTTTCAAAAAGAGTCAATTGAAGAAACACTTGGATAATTTGCACCCACATCTGGCTTCAAAACCACGGGAATATTTTGTCAATTTGGAAATGTCTGTCAAAAGACAAAGATTGGACAGCAACTTTAGAGGTACATTCAATCAATGTTCAGCATCCAAGGCTAGCTTTGAAGTGGCCTGGTTGATTGCCCGAAACAAAAAAACTTATACTATTGGTGAGGATTTGGTTAAACCAGCAGCTTTGAAAATGGCAGAGATTATGTGTGGTCAGAATGAAGCCAAGAAACTAAATTCTGTGCCCTTGTCTGCAAGAGTTGTTAAAGAAAGAGTTTCTATTTTAGCAAAAAATGTGAGGCAACAAGTTATTTCCTCAATAAAAGAGAGTAAATACTTTGCTATTCAGCTAGATGAGACTACGGATGTTAGTAGTAATTCTCAGCTGATGGTATATGTCCGCTACAAAGGTTTACATTTAATTGAAGAGGAATTGTTGTTTTGTTCTCTCGACTTGCGATCTCGTGGAATTGATATCTTCAATAAAGTTAATGAATACTTTAATGACGTCAATTTAAAGTGGGAAGACTGCCTTGCTGTGTCTGTTGATGGAGCTCCAGCTATGTTGGGTCATGTTAATGGTTTTGCGGCTTTTGTGAGAGAGAGAAATCCAAAAGTTGAAGTAAACCACTGTATTATCCATTGCCAGGCACTGCTTGTGAAACATTTGGAACCTACATTAGAGGCCGTCATGCATGATGTTATCAAGATTGTCAATGTTGTCAAAGGACATGCACTAAACACGCGATTATTTTGTGAATTATGTAAAGCTGGTGATGCTGAATATACAGACCTACTTTATCATACAGAAGTGAGGTGGCTCTCACATGGAAATGTTCTGAACCGAGTGTGGGCTCTCAAAACTGAACTTGAAAGTTTCATGGTTGAGCAAAAGCATGTTCTTGCAGAGAAGTTTACAAACCCCTTGTGGGTTGCACATCTTGCATATTTAGCAGATATGTTTGAGCATGTTAATGTATTGAACAAAGAATTGCAAGGAAAAAACATAAATATAATTTCAGCCAGAGAAAAGATTTCTGCATTTGGATCAAAGCTTTTATATTGGAGACAAAAAGTTGAACAGAAAAAGATAGCTACCTTTTCAAAGTTAGCTTTGTTCTTGGAAGATTGTGAAAATATTACTTTTGAAGACATCAAGGATACAGTTATAAGGCATCTTACCAAACTCAAAGAGCGGTTCTCTGATTACTTTCCAGATCTTGATTCACATGCTGTCAGTTGGATTGTAGACCCCTTTAAATGTGAAATTTGTGTTGTACCAGAAGAGCCTCAAGGGTTGGCAGAGTCACTTCTTGAGCTTCGATGCAATAATGAAGCACAGATTACATTTGAAAACAAAGCAGATCTGTCAAATTTTTGGATGTCAACACCTGCAACACCTTCAAAATTGCACATGAGGAAGCATTCAAAAAGTTGCTGCCTTTTGCAACAACCTACCTTTGCGAACAAGGATTTTCCACTCTTACGAACATAAAAACAAAGAAAAGAAATCGATTGGACCTGGAAGACTGTATCCATATTGCTCTGACATCAAAATGTCCCAATATTGATGATCTCGTATCCAAGATGAAGCAACATCATTTCTCCAAAACCTGAAGTTTTCAAGTAAGTTGAAGCTTTCAAAGTAATTTTAAATACATCCAATAACATTTTGAATTCAAATAGTGTATGATTTCCTTCCTTTCAAATCAAGGGGGTAACGTCGGCGTTTATAAATTTTTTGGGGGGTAAAAGGTAAAAAAGTTCCCTGACCCCTGTTTTAATATATTATAGCACTGCTTCCAGCATGAAAGAAAGAAACTTGCCAAAAAAATTTCATAGGCAAATTATTTTGGAAAGAATCTTCTCTACAGTTGGAAAACGTTAGAAATGCTACATCATCAAGTAATAAAAATGAAGGTTTGGAAATACCAAATACTAATTTACCCTCCATGATAAATAGCTTACAATGGATGGCAAAATAGATGTACAATGAAAAGGCTGAGCTGGTAATTCAAAATTTTAAGATTTGTTAGATGAATTATAATTAATTGGAAGATTTGTCCAGAACTGCTAAAGGGTAATGGAAAGAACTGCAGTGCTTGAACAATTCTGTTCTTTATCAAAAAAAAAACCTCCTGTTTTTTAAAAAACAACACAATTTTCACAGGCTACCATCATCCAGGGTAAATTCTTAGACACATTCTTATTTATCCATCTAATCAAAGAATTTCTACTTAAGCACCTCTCGTACCCATTCTACATAAACACAAAGGCAAAGAATGATAAGCAAGGTTCAACATTTCCAAACATTACAGTTACCAAATGCTCATGTAAAAGTCTGAGAATATTAAAGAGAACTTAGGAAATGTCAATGTATCACGTTCAGGAAGTTTTAATGAGAAATTTTCTTTTAAAAAACATTTAACTATCTATTCAGACAGGAGAACAACCTTTGGAAAAATGGATAGGATAAAAAAGGAAAGTAATTAACAGATTACACCAAAAGACTTAATAGCTAGTCTGAATAGGCAGATTCTGAGGAAATGTGTTTTTACTTGCTTAAGTTGACTTAAGGATGTCAGAAGATGTATTTGAAGATAGAATGTCCAAGAGACAAATTTTTGGACCCATGATCTGATGTTCTCAGAAATACTGAGGAATGTCACAAGTATGATAGAGTGTGAAGAACTGTCAGATATTGATATCCCTATATGTTGGAAATCATATCAAATAAATAGAATAACTCTTCTGAACCAATATGAGACCCATAGGGCTTCTTTGAAAAGAATTTTACACAAATAACAATTCTTAAGAAGAAAAAGTATTACTTGTCTTACAAGATGATGTACATCTACATAAAACATTATTTAAGTAAAGACAATTCTATAGGTTAAGTTGTCAAAAGGCAATTTTAAAATAAGAATATTAATTTCACCATAAGGCGCATCTGCTCCATTTTAGCAGTTATCATTTAACCATCTATTTCAAAATCAAGGTTCCATAGATGGAAAAGATGCAAAACAAGACAAGCAATATAAACAATTCCAATTACTCCCAGTTAAGTAGATTTGGCAGCAGATGGTTGAAAAAGATTTGGAAGTTTCATTCAATAAATCAGGTTATGGCTTGCTTACTCTGGAGGAGACTCAAAAAGCCTTCAACACAAAAGGGCCTTTGGCTATTCATATTTTGGCAGGGCAATGAAGAACTTTATTAGCCTGGTTATTTTTTGGTGGGTTTTTTTTTTAAAAGATTCTTCTTTAGAGAAAAGAATCTCTATTTGGCAGAGAACAAGCTCAGAATTAGATACATGGATCTTTCATATTCCAGATATTTATCTGGCTACAGAGGTTCAAAGCGATTTCCTGCAATTCAATATTGTACAGTATATAGAGGCTTATAGCATTATACATTTCAGAAGTTCCTTGGGCTTGTTTTACATTTTACTCCAATGTGAATGTACACACAAAATCCACAATGGAGTCTGACAAACAATTTCATTTGTGATTGGTGATTTATTATCCCTCCTTAAACGCTGTGCTTTAATAAACTGCCTTCCTAACTAACTAGGGTGGCCCAAGAACAAGGCTCCTCAAACTTGGCAAGTTTAAGACTTGTGGACTTCAACTCCCAGAATTCCTGAGCTAACATACTGGAGAAAGAATTCTGGGAGTTGGAAGTCCACAAGTCTTAAAGCTGTCAAGTTTGAAGGGCCCTGCCTAAGAAGAACTACCTGAGAAAGAACCCACAGCTGATCTTTGGCCAGAGGCAACTGCAATGTGCTTTTCTTGAGCTGGTCGCTTGCATGACAACATCTAGATACTTAGTCACTTGCTCTTTTAAGATCTACAGAATTCAGTGGTGGGATTCAAATTTTTTTACTACCGGTTCTGTGAGCATGGCTTGGTGGGTGTTCCTTGGCTTGGTGGGCATGGTTTGGTGGGCGTGGCAGGGGAAGGATACTGCAAAATTTCCATTCCCACCCCACTAACCTGCTTTCCAGCTCCATTCTTCTGTGCAGGGCAACAAAAGAAGACCCAGCCAATCAGCTGGGACTCGGGAGGCAGAGAATAGGTGGGGGCGAGGCCAGTGAGAGATGGTATTTGCCAATTCTCCAAACTACTCAAAATTCCAGCTACCATTTCTCCAGAACTGGTCAGAACCTGCTGAATACCACCTCTGCTTTGGATGTCCTGGAGAGGATTACTACATCATCTGCGTAGAGATGGCCTTGATCCTTTGATCCCCTATTTTGGGTGTGTTTGTGATGATTTGGTTTATTTAACCATTTTGCCATGTTATTAATGTAGAAATTGAAGAGTGGAATGGGTGCTAAAATGCACCCCTTATTATGTAGTGCGTGGGTGTCAAACTTGATTGCATCACATGATGTATTGCGACATTTTTTGCCTTTGTGGAGCTGGGGTAGGCGTGGCCTGTGCGTGATGCATCCAACCTGTGGGCTGTCAGTTTGACACTCCTGCTGTAGTGAATACATTTTAGAAGATAATGATAGACTAAAACTACATTATTTTATTTTGCTTTGTTTTGCAAAATAAAAAATATACCGTCTACCAGATTGTGTCCAGGTAAAAAGAGTTCAGCTTGATTCTAATGAGGTCACTTGGCTTCTTATTCTAAGTCAAAAAGTAGTAGAATCCCAAATGAAAATATTATAAATAAATCAAGTCCTTTTTAAAGGGGGAAGGCAATGAAGGCATTTTCCCAGACCCCACACACTGAGAAGCGTCTCTCGGAAATATAAATGACCAATGATCAGCTTAGTCAATGTTTTCCATTCAAGCCTACAGGTGAAACTCGAAAAATTAGAATATCGTGCAAAAGTGCATTTATTTCAGGAATGCAACGTAAAAGGTGAACCTAATATATGAGATAGACTCATTACATGCAAAGCAAGATAGTTCAAGCCGTCATTTGTCATAATTGAGATGATTATGGCTTACAGCTCATGAAAACCCCAAATCCACAATCTCAGAAAATTAGAATATTGTGACAAGATTCAATATTCTAGGCTCAAAGTGTCCCACTCTAATCAGCTAATTAAGCCATAGTACCTGCAAAGGGTTCCTGAGCCTTTAAATGGTCTCTCAGTCTGGTTCAGTAGGAAGCACAATCATGGGAAAGACTACTGACCTGACAGTTGTGCAGAAAACCATCATTGACACCCTCCATAAGGAGGGAAAGCCTCAAAAGGTAATTGCAAAAGAAGTTGGATGTTCCCAAAGTGCTGTATCAAAGCACATTAATAGAAAGTTATGTGGAAGGGAAAAGTGTGGAAGAAAAAGGTGCACAAGCAGCAGGAATGACCGCAGCCTGGAGAGGATTGTCAGGAAAAGGCCATTC